GGCTTACAGTTAGTAAGAAACCTGACTTGTTGACAGCTGGAAATATCTGTGAATGTCATTCCTATATTCTTTCTACTGCTTAGATCGTGTTTTTTTTAACACTTAAATGTCAACAAGTTTGATTCTGTGTAAATAGGTTACCTCCACATCAGCCAGTGACAGCAAAACCTCAAGATGTTAGAAGAAAGAGACAAAAGTTGGAAGGTTTTTCATGTTTTTGTCAAAAGCTCATTTATTCATTGTTCATTGCTAATAACTCATAACAAATATCTCATAAATGTTGGAAGGATTAGTAAGATGCCTCGTAATTACTTTTACCCCAGTGATAAATGGTCTGCTAATAACATGGAGCCTCCCATATAATAGCCCTCAGACTCCATGATGTGAATTGGTCTTAGAAATGAGACTGGTGTATAATGAGGTCCTTCTGTTTAAATCTTAAATCTTAAATCTTTATTGGAGAAACTAAAGCCATGGACATATCTCAGGTTGAACTCCAACTTTTAACAAACTACACTATAAGGAGATGACACAATACAGTAGCATTACCTGCACAACTATTAGCACTGTTAACCAAAAACAGCAATAGCACTATGATGTTTGAAACATTTTAGCTTCACTGCATTTTTAAGAGAAATCTGAATCAGCATTGGAATAATATCTCCGGTATGAATAGAGGAGCTAGAAGCAGAATCAAGGTCTACTGTGAACCACAGCAGTTCTTTGGCCCCTGGAGAAGATTCCTTTCCATGCCATAGCACTAGATATGTAAACAGAAGAAAAAGCATGGATTGTACATAGACATGAGAAAGGAACAGAAAAGTAGAGCCAAGGTACTGATGCAGGTCAAGGCCATTAAGCATTTTAAGATGTCTTAAAAGAAGAGCTTGCTAACAAAATTCTCTATGCTAAACCTTTCTTTCTTTGTTCATCTTGTCATATTTACTTTTCTCCTCTGTCACCTTTATTTATACATGATCCAATGGCTTCTCAATGGATTTATCACATTAAATTGTTGACTTAAAGGTTTACTAATGTCTTCCAATTCACTTTTTTCTTTTCTTGATGTGTCTGAAAGCAGCATTTTTAGCAAATAATGTAATTTTTCAACATAGAAATGTATTCATGCATAGTTGTTCCTTTGTGGCTGGCTGGAGGAATGAATATCCACAGGCAGATAGAGCCAAATAAGTAAAGTGGTTTACAAAGTAGAAAGTTGATTGTCAGAAACACAAATAAAAATAAACATTTCCATTATCAATCAAAAGAATAACCATCTGGATATCTACATTTCTTGACAGAGCTTGTCAAGAGAGCTCAGTGGACATTCCAGGTTTGGTTTACTGTGGAGTATTTGTTTTTAGCTTTATTGAGGTAAAACTGACAAATAAAATTGCAATTGCAATATCTTCAAAGTGTGTGATTATTTGATATATGTATACATTGTGAAATAAATCCCATAAAAACTTAATATATCCATCGCCTCACATATCTACTTATCTGGGTTTTTTTTTTTTTTTTTTTTGGTGAGAAAACGTAAATTCTTCTTTCAGGGAATTTCAATTATACAATACAGTGCTATCAATGATAATCACCATGTTATACATTAGATTCTCAGGCCTTATTCATCTTATAACTGAGAGTTTGTATCTTTTACCAACCACTCCACCTTCCCCGCACTGCTCCCAGCCCCTGGCAACCATTATTCTGCTCTTTGTTTCTATGAGTTTGCCCCTTCCTTCCCTCCTTCCTTCCTTCCTTCCTCTCTTCCTCCCTCCCTCCCTCCCTTCCTTTTTCTTTCATTCTTTCTTTCTGTCTTTCTCACTCTCTCTTTCTTTTAGATTCCCCATATAAGTGATAGAATGAAGTATTTGTCTTTCTCTGTCTGGCTTATTTCAATTAGCATGATATCCTCCAGGTTTACTTCATCCATGTTATCACAAATAACAGGATTGCCTCCTTTTATAAAGCTGAATAATATTCTATTATATATATATAATGGCATCTATATTTTCTTTATTCATCTGTCAATAGCTTAGGTTGTTTCAAAACCTTGGATATAGTGAATAATGCTGCAATGAACATAGGAGTAAAGATACCTCTTCAGATAATTATTTTATTTCTTTTGGATATATACCCAGAAGTGGGATTGCTGGATCATATGGTAGTTCTGTTTTTAATTTCTTGAGGAACCTCCATTCTGTTTTCCATAGTGGCTGCACCAATTTACATTCCCACCAACAGGGCACAGGGTTCCCTCTTCTCCATATCCTCGCCAGCATTTGTTATCTCTTGTCATTTTGATAATACACATTCTAACAGGTGTGAGGTGATATCTCACTGTAGTTTTTATTTGCATTTCCCTGATGGTTAGTGATGTTGAGCACCAGCTGCCCACTTGCTTTTTGTTTTGCTTTTGGATCAAACTATTTTATTAAGGGGCTTGGGGGGTGGGGGACAAAGGGCTGGGAGGACAATGGGATCTGATGTCCTCAGGTGGGCCAGGATCTCCCGAGCTTCAAAGTCACCAAAAATCCTGTTGGCCATTTGTATGTCTTCTTTGGAAAACTGCCTAATTTAAGTCCTTTGCCCACTTCTAAACTGAGTTGTTTGTTTTTTGCTACTGAGTTGTATGAATTCCTTGTATAATTTGAAATATTAATCCCTTATCAGATTTGTGGTTTGCAAATATTTTTTCTCTTTCCATAGGTTGCCTTTTCATTTTGTTAATGGTTTCCTTTGCTGTACAGAAGCATTTTGGTTGGTATAGTACCACTTGTTTATTTTTGCTTTTGTTGCCTTTGTTTTTGCTGTCAGATCCAAAAAGTCACTGCCAAGACTAATGTCAAGGAGGTTTTTCCCTATGTTTTTTCTTAGGAGTTTTATGGTTTTTGGTCTCATGTCCAAGTCTTTAATCCATTTTGACTTGATTTTTGTATATGATGTAAGGTCCAGTTTCATTCTTTTACATGTGAATATCCAGTTTTCCCAACACCATTTAATGAAGAGATTATCCTTTTCCCATTTTATATTCTTGGTGCCTTTGTTGAAAATTAATTGACCATATATGTGTGAGTTTATTTCTGGGCTCTCTATTCTGTTCCATTGATTTATGTGCCTGTTTTTATTCCAACATCATACTGTTTTGACTACCAAAGCTTTGTAATATGGTTTGAAATCAGGAAGTGTGATGCCTACAGCTTTATTCTTCCTTCTCAGGATTGCTTTGGCTATTGGGGGTCTTTTCTGATTCCATATGAGTTTTACACTCTGGAGTATTTAATTATGATCCAGGAAAGTAGGTTGCTCATGTGAGGAGTCCAACATATACTGCATGACATTTTCAATGCATTTTTCTAACCAAGATTTCCAGATACTTGTGCCTGACCTTGCTAAGAAATAAGAACTCCATATCATGACCACATTCTCACCACTTTCTGATTTTCTCTTTCTTATTAGAGTTGACTGCAAAACTACCCCCTTAAAATACCCTTTACTGGACATATTTTGTAGGGATAAATGTCAGAGTTCTTCCAGTTTTGGTGCTGCCCACCATCCTACAATTCCCCAACTCCATCAGCACCTCTATCCTGTCTCAACACAGCAAAAATAGGTATAATTAGTATCTAGCATCATAGAATCACCAATTAACATGTGTTAAATCTGCTGCTTCCCATCATCTATCTTGGAATATTTGTTGACAGTGAGAAGCATTTAGACCAAAGAAAAGTGAGAAAGAATTACATCCTTGCATATTTGATTGAAATATGATTTCCTTAATTGTATAGCAAGATATAAAATATGTGTAAATAAATATATTTTATAATTTGATTTTACCACTAAAATTATTTTGGTGGACAGCACAAGACAGATCTTAGATTGCTAATGACCAATGAATGGGATGACCAATGAATGGGATGACCAATGAAATTTGGAGGTGACATCCCTTTGGACATTTTGTTATGTGAAATAATAAATGTCCTTGTTGATTAGGCCACTTTCAGTTCTCTTTTCTGTTACTTTAAGCTGAAAACATCCTAGAAAATGTAGAGATATTGTCTTATACATGCCTTTTTATAGTGATTGAATTAACTGAATAAATGGGGAAGACAGAGGTGGGGAACTAGGAAAGGCATCAGGAATCTCTGTGAAAAGGACTACATAGGGGAATTTTGAGAACTGCTGATTGTAATAATACCCAGCTTCATCATTTGGCCTAGGATTAGTTTTATTATAAATTTCTGATTCTACAGTGAATTAATGGATGTTAATGGATTGCAAACATCTGTTCCTTCAACAAGTGATATTTTATCCTTTTTTTCTTTAATTACTAAAAGATAGGACTGCTGTCACTGTCACTGTCCTCAAAGTCATATCACAGAGAACTGATAAATAGCTAACATTTTGTTACCATTAAAAAGTTGGAAATTTAAGGCATTAATTGATTTTTCTCTAGATGTTCCAGGTAACAGGTAAATCTAAAACTAAAATTCATCTGATTTGTAAAGACTCTAGATCCCTGATTCTACCTAATACTAGAATTACTTCATTGGACACATATAACCTCCTTAAAGAAAAATAAAACATATTTTTTTACTTAAGAAACAAGTTATTGTGGCTTCCTAGAAAAGCAATGTAATTTGCAGTTCATAAAATTTTAATATGTTTACATATGTCTGTATATATGCATATGTGTATGCATATGTATATATATGAAAACATAAATGTATCTGAAAAAACATATAAATACACTTTAAATTACATTTATTTAAAAATAAACCTTATTAGAGATTTTCTATATTTATATCTCAGATTACCCTTCTTTAAAAATAAATACACAGATCAGCCTTGGATGGAGAAAAAAGAAAATACTGCAGGATATGTGTGGGCTAGGGGCTGCTGGAGTTTTATCTGGTGTCCTCCTTTCTTTATGAGGTTTCCCTCACTGCTGGCCAAGTGCCAGAGAAGGTGTGCACGCATCTCCCCGCCAATACCCGACAATGGGCAGCTCCTGCTTTGGCCTCAAGGAACGGCTGATAAAGCGGCTGCGGCCTCTGCCTACCTTGACCTTCATCCGTACCTGCCTGCCCCAGAGGAGGAGCAGAGATTTCCGCGTGGTGGTGGTCGGCTCGACCGGCGTGGGCAAGAGCGCGCTGGTGCAGAGGTGCGTGCGCGGCAACTTCCGTGAGGCGTATCTGCCGACCATCGAAGATACCCACCTCCAGGCGCTGGGATGCAGCCACAAGGCGGGCACAATGCACACCACCGACACCACCGGCGGCCGCCGCTACCAGGCGACTCGCCATTGCCAGGGTCACGTCTTCATCCTGGTCTACTCCGTCACCAAGAAGCAAACCCTGGAGGAGCTGAAGCCCCTCTATGAGCTGATCCGTCAACTCAAAGGCAACAGCCCGCAAAAGTGCGCCATCATCCTGGTGGGCAACAAGTGCGATGAGAGCCACCGGGAGGTGAGCGAGAAGGAAGGTGCTGCCTACGCGTCGGAGTGGAATTGTGCCTTCTTGGAGACCTCCGCCAAGATGAATATCAATGTGCAGGCGCTGTTCTAGATGCTGATAAACTTCGAGAAGAAGCCCGCCGCTGCCACCGGCGCCCAGCCTCCCTAAAAGAAATCCCAGATCCCCAAGACCACGGAGAAGCTGGTGGTCAAGTGCATCATCATGTGAACCCTGAGCCTTAAGGAGCCCGACCCGCTTCTCCTTCAGTGTGCCGAAAACATGGACAGACCCCATTGTGCTGTGTCACCTGTACATGACTGACTTTTGTGCTGTCCTTTGGGTTGTAACAATTAGATGTCAATAAATGTCCCTTGTGAGTTAGTAACTTTTCTTTTTCCCAGGCAAGAGGACTCGAATTGTTAAAATATGGACATTGGAGGAGGAGAGGAAAAGGAACAGGATGCATTTTAAAGGATGGGACTTGGATGGACTTTAGAGATTAATGTTTAAAAAAGAGAATGGAAATAGCAAAATGAATTGAAAGATGTCACTGCCCTTCTTGTAATCCTATTATTGTGTATTATTCTTAAACATTTCAAGTCCTGTAAATGTCTGATCATATCTTCCCATTGTGTATTTAATTGTTAAGAGACATGTTTTTGCAACAAAAGCTCTGACAGCTGACTGTGAGACAGAGATACTAAACATGATAAGTAAATGAATGTTCTATAGCTGAGCATTGAGGGTGGGAGCAGAGAAAATTGTGAAAGTAGAACTTGCTTACTAAATATATGCCAATTGTTTCCTAAGTCATTTAAAAATGTTTAAGTATTCTACACTGCAGTTTTAAAAAATTATAACAGTTCCGTGACTTAATAAAGCTTTTCCTGCATGCAAAAATAAATAAATAAATACACACAGAACTGATCTTACTTACATGACATATATTACAGATGGCAAACAAAATGGTTTAAGGTTAATAATAACCAGCTCAAACATAGAAAGAGTCCATTTTGGGATTCAAATATCTGACCTGTCCATCTACAAAGTTAACTTTTCCTTTCATTCGACTGACTTTCCCTTTGTATATCATGGGCAGTCAGTCATTTTTTTTCCTGTTTTTTTTCCCTATAGGAGTGATTTCTTGGACCATTGTCCTGGCTCCTCTTTTCCTAACCTCCCCAGAATTGTGTTGCTATCTACCTTAGATCTTATAACAACAACAACAACAACAAAACTGAAGCTAAAGAGTTCTTTAGGCAAATGAGACTATTCAAAAGAGTCTATAATATGAACGGCATGTCCATCCCCCGCCTCATTTGTTAATATGTGTTGGGCTCAAATGTTCAAATTTGCCAGGTCAGTGTTCCAAACGCTGATTGGAAATATCTAATGTGCATTGTATGCAATAAAGTCACACTTCAATTTCAGCACAGGTTTTACGTTTTTGTTCCTGTTCATAATCTAAATAAACTTAGCATTTCTCAGCTTAAATTTATTTCAGGCATGCTTTCTCCAAAGGATTTAAAATTTTAAATGCCTCAATGGCAGAATGGGAATGTTTATCCATTTGAGATGCTTAGAAATATAAGGAGTAATCATCTTTCTTTTCTCTGCAATACAGTTTTTGAATAACACAGATCATTTTGAAGTATATTTAACAAGTAGCTTGTTTCAAATTCGATATTAGCTTGATTTACCATCTGCAAAATTACAAATAACATGACGCATTTATTACCCATAAAAGCTATTAGCAGGTCATTTTGTTCAGTTCATCATATGTGTCTTGAGACACAATCTGGCGTCTAACAGATTTTCATACATTGATGTCGCAGAGAATCAGACTGTTCTTTAATTGATTGTTTCTTGCTAGACTCCTTTTGATTAAAACAGGTTATGCTATTTGCTTTTAGTTCCACATTTCTCCACTTCAAAGTCTGGCCATAGAAAGCAGAAATTATTTTCATTTCTCTGAATTCTTTTAATTTAAAGTGAATGTATATATTTAAAAGTCTGCCATAATCAAGGGCTTTAAAAATGCCTTCAGTTTTTTCAATCTATGACTCCCTCAACAAGAATACAATCCTCACCATGTCTTTACAAAATGGATTGATCTTTTCCTGCCAAGTCATCGAATTTTGAACCTAGAACCTAAAGTGAGTACAGATCACAGGGACCAAAGGGAAAAGGAAGGGCTCCCTCAAAGCACTCTCTTTCCCTCACAATTTGCACAGACCCAGACAAGCAAAACTGAATTGTGGTGATAGTGTTGTATTCTTCTCCAGAGGGAAAAGAAAGTAAGAGTCTTTTGCTAAACTGGTTTCAGAAGGCCTAACTCATATTGTTCATTTAAGCAAAGAGATTGGTAAGCTCCTGAGACATTCCCTTCCTCCTCCCCCCCCACCCAAAAAAAAGGAAAACTCCAAAAGCTATGTGAACTCTGGAGGGATAAGGTCGGTGGTCCTGTCTCAGGCCTTCTACCCACATTCCCTGCGCAGTTAACACCATAAAAATAAAAGGGCTGCAATCAGATCAGTACTCATCAATAGGAATGAGTAGCAGCTCGCAGGCTCAAAACAAGAGCCTAATTCAGCATTCAAAAGGTTTTTGTTTGCCTAATGTCAGAAACAAACATAAAACTTTCTATCATGTGACATCCATGACACTAAGAGAGAGCAGTCACCCTTCCCTTAGGCTTCTGTCTTCCACAGACAAAAGCCATCAATAGCTCCTTTGTGTTCTACCTCAGCTTTCTGTCTTCACTGAGTCAGCCAATCATTCCCAACAGTCATCTGCTCTTTCCAGGTGAAATTCCCAAGTTCCCAGTCACAAAATCCCATGTCCCAAGGATGCATTAGTTGGCATAATAATATCCTAGCCAATAGTATTCTTAGCGGATCAAAAATTTTATTAGGATACAGGAATAATTCTAATTCTTATTTGAAAATTTTCTAGTGCTTTACTTGTTGTTTATACAACTTTTTGTGAAACATTTGCTATTTTAAATTATTTGGGGCAACCAGAAACATGTAAGTATACCAAACTTATTTTGTCATTTTTAGCACCAATTAACTCCTTAAAATTTACACTAGATTTATACAAGGCATAGCTGTCTGGGGATTCTAAAAGATTTTTAATGATTTAAACTTGAAAGCCACTATTCAGAGCCAGTGATGCACTGAGGAAAATTATGTAAGTTATGTCTTTAGAAATTACTTTTACTCTAGAATTTATTTAAAATCGAGTTGTGCTGATCATTTAAAATATTGTACTAAATTTAATAGAAAATCTCTTGGTGGATGCTTAGTGTAGATTGAAAAGCTTAAATGGCTTAAAAATAGCTTTGAAACATTATGTAGACATGTGAGGCAGTTATCATGTTTAAATGATGGGAGTTTAATGGTCTTCTCATACATTAACCCTACACTCTGATGGTGAGAAATGCCTGCATCTTACTCTAGAAATGGATAAAAATAAACATTTAAATTTAGTAAATCTGATGATTTAGTTAGCATCTCCTTACCTATTTGTAATATTTTTGAAATTCAATGAGGTGAATTTTTATGGCTCAGAGATCATTAGCTACAACGGAACCTTCAAATATATAATAAATAGTATGCACTTGGGACAACTTACTGAAGTATAGTTCTGTCTCCTTTCATGATATGCCCCAGTCTGTATAAGTATGAAACTAAAAAACAGCAACGCAACAACAACAATGCTATCTTGTTTGATGGAATACTTTTTAAAATTAACAAATACTATTTGACTAAAATACTATTTGTTAGTCAACTCCTAAGGAATAAGTATATCCTATTCATGGAAATATACCTATGTCAAAGGCAATAGAAATGGCTAAAATGTACCATTATTTGATTTAGAATGTAAAATAAGTCACGTTTTTTCAGTGAATCTATTATGGAGAGGTATATTACAGGCACGTCGTTGGCTTCTAGAAAGAATTGTATGAAACAGTTTGTATTTAATACAAATGTGGGCAGCTAACTGAATGGGTTTAAAAAGAAATATATGTTTTTTAAATGGTAAGCTTCTCTAGATGAAAATATGAACCTTTGTCAGAATCCCTTTGAGAGAGAGAGGGGAAAAAATAAAAGGAACATTCTTTGAAGTACTCGTCAATGTTATCTGGTCTAATCCAAACTGTAAAATTATAAAATCTGTAGATTTCATTCACCAGCTCTGTACCAGTCACTCACACTGATAAAAAGGATTGGCTAAATATACTAAAATAGTAGTTGTATTCTGAATTGTTCCCTCTGACATGTGAAGTAATAGATTCTTTTATTATTATTAATAACATCTTGAAAAGAATTTCTATGCAGGTACATTTAGAGATGATATGAAAGGTAATGCACTGTAATTTTACTTCATTCTAAGGCTTCTGTAGTGGTGTAAAGTGAGATCAAATAAGCTGCCTTAAATCCTAACTAATTTTACTTTGGATAGACCTCTATATCTAGCTTTGGTGGAATATTCTATCACAAATACTTTCTAGGGATTTTAACATTATTTGATAGAGTAGGTATTATTATTATTATTATTATTATTATTTGTGGTACACAGGCCTCTCACTGTTGTGGCCTCTCCCGTTGCGGAGCACAGGCTCCAGACGCACAGGCTCAGCGGCCACAGCTCACGGGCCTAGTCGCTCTGCGGCATGTGGGATCTTCCCAGACCGGGGCACGATCCCGTGTCCTCTGCATCGGCAGGCGAACTCTCAACCACTGCACCACCAGGGAAGCCCTAGAGTAGGTATTATTATTCCCATTTGTATATAAAGAAACTGAGGCTGGGGATGCTGGGTTTTTTCTCTTTTTTTCATTAAAAAAAAGAAAAAAGGCAAATCTCTTCCTTTTTACACTGGTTTGCTTTATGCTCATGGTGGGAATTAAAGTCTTCCATTTTATGAACACAGGTGATTGCATAGTGGATGAGTAAAACTTAGCATGATTTCTTACTTCTCTTCTTCGTTTTTTGTTTTTGTTTTTAATTCCAGTAGCCATCTTTATTAAGTTACTTAATCAGTCTTTGGGTGTCTATGGACAAATCTCCATTAATATATAAACATGCCTCAGTGTCTTTCAAAAAAC